CCTCCAAGCCTGGAGGCACACCAATCCTGAGCCTGTGCATACCCCTAGACACTCCCCTTACACTGCCCTATAAAGATCTGTGCGCAGCGGCTTCAAACCGTCTTTGCTAGCCATCCGCCATGGTGGGGGGGGCAAAGACCCAAGCTAACATGGGGTTAGGTCGTTAAATTACAATAAAGCCTCATGCAGTTTGCATCAAGCTCTCGAATCCGCCTGGTGATTGGGGTGACCGAGAACGTGGCCTGGGACCCCGGATACCTGAGTTTTCCGGGGGTCAAACATTGGTACTGTTAGAAGGTGGAAGCCTTGTTAAAGGAAGTACATCACTGTGGGGTGGGTTTTGAGGGCATATAGTCTGACCCCATTTCTTCCTCTGTCTCTGAACAGATGGGTAAAATCATTTAAACATGTAGAATTCAACAAATGTGAGATTATATTGGGAAAGAAGTGAACTAACGTGGGTGGGGAGAAGAGGGAGTAAAGGATGGATATTGTCAGAATTGACAATCTCCTTGAATAAAAATGTCTTTAGGAAACCTGTTCTCCAGTCAACAAATAGACACCAATCAAAACATAATTAAATTTAAAAAAAAAAAAGTAAAACAAGTGTTCTAAAGAGACTGTTAGTCATTTTGGACAAGGGAAGACACTGAGAACAAGAGTTACACCTGCTTTGTGAGTAAGAATGCCTTCCCATGCAGGCTCCCACAGTTTTAAAGCCACTTTTGTAACTTCAAGGCCCTCAACAACTTCACCCAGCAATGCCACCAACATGAAGAGAGTCACCTGCCATCTCTCCTTCTCTCCTTCTTCATCTGCTCTCTAGCCAAGGGCTATATTAATTTACATCAGGTAGAGGGGGCAGGGCCACAATCATGGCAGGAGTAGGAGGAGAGCCTGTGGACACTACATGGTGAAAACAAATAGTTGTCACCTTCCAGAAAACCAGGAAAACCCATTCATGTGTCTGCCTGAGCCAGATTGTGAAAAGTCACAGTCACATTCCTGAACCCTCAATATCTAAACTCTTCAGGATGCATAAGGACTTTCAGCAAATCTGAGCCTAACTGACTATGGTTTAAATACTACAGAGACTGTCTCAGCTTAAAATTACTTAAGAAAAAAAAAAAGCTCCAGCTTTGTTTTCATTACCTGAAAGCCATTTAAAGCATGAAAACCACAGGGGAGGAACTTCAGAGTAAACAGGAATCTTCTCTACATGCAATATTTGAAATGGAAATCTCACTTCTGCTTCCCTGTCATTGCAATTCTTGATCTAAGTGATAAGACTAACTTTGTTCTCTCTCTCTCTCTCTCTCTCTCTCTCTCTCTCTCTCTCTCTCTCTCTCTCTTTCTCTCTCCAGCCCTGATTGTCCTGGAACTTGCTTTGTAGATCAAGCTGGCATGGAATTTACAAAGATCCTTCTGCCTCTGCGTTCCAAGTGCTGGAATTAAAGGTATGAGCCATCATGCCTGGCCCTAAACTTAATAATATGTATATGTACCACTATTTTTCCATTTTCAGAGAAAAAAACAGAGTTTTATTTTATTTTATCTTAACGTTCATGCCTGCAAGTAAGTGTGTGTGTGTGTGTGTGTGTGTGTGTGTGTGTGTGTGTGTGTGTGTGCGCGCGCGCCTGTATGTGCCAGTGGACATGTCATGGCATACATATGGAGGTCAGAGGACAATCTGTGAGAGATCCACCATTTGGGGACCTAGGATCCACTCAGGTTGACAGTCTTGGTGGCAAGGGGCTTTACCTGCTGCATTAGCACACCAACCCAGAAACAGGATTTTAGAGAGGAACTCTGCCCATGACACATGAAACCTAAGCTTCAGACAATTGGGACAACACTACAGAGATCAGAACTGGCCAGAAGAACTGGATTTAGGACCCAGTTTACCTTTGCTGCATCACTGAACCATTTTCTCAGTCTGCCTCTGGCCTACTGACAATATTGGTGACAGGCGCTAATGTACCCTGCGAACACACTGTGACCAGACACTGGACTAACTATTGTGGACTCATTTTCTTATTGAATTCCCACAAGATGTAGCTTGTGAGATGGAACTTAACCTATTTTTCTCTCCCGTTACTGAAAGATGAAAAGAGCTTCACAGAGTTTAAGAGCAGAGCTCTATCCAGAAATAAGATGAGATTAACCTCCCTGATCGATGTGCTCTGAGGTCAGCTTCTTCTGTCCTGTTTGTCTTCAGGGACAGCTTCCAACCTTGACCCTAGGAAGAATTTAGCTCCTCCTTATGAGGCTGACATCTGAGGAAGCTGATGGTTTGCATCCAACTAAAAAGAGCCCTGATTTCATCTCATCAATCCCTAAGCCCCAATATAAGCAACAGTGCCAGCTCAGAGTAAATCTGAAAACAACAAAGACAATAATCCATTACACCAAGTTTACTTAATATCTAACTAAAATAGAATCATTTCTTGTTAAAGGTTTTTTAAAATTAAATTTTAAGCAAGGGCCAGCAAAATGACCCCATGTATAATGGCACTTCCCTGAGACCTTAGTCCAGTTCCCTCCTCTCATACAGTGCAAGGAAAGAGCAAGTGCCTCCAAGTTTCTCTCTTACCTCCATATGCCATGCATGGCACGTGACCACACACACACACACACACACACACACACACACACACTTGCATACACATTCACATACACATACACACACAATCACACACTCACATGAACATACACACACATATACACACACTCAAATACACATCCACACACACACATCCACACACACTCACATATACATACATTCACACACACTCTCATGTGCATACAAACACACTCACACATACTCACATACACACACTCACATACACATACACACAGAGATTAATTTATTAAAATGTAATAAAATTAAAACTCTTTAAGTAAAATGAAGTCTTTGTTGGCTGTGAGCCTTAGTCTTTGATAGATGAACCATCTCTCCAACCACAAATGACTATCTTTCTAAATGAAATGCTGGCAATAGTAGATATTTCTCTTTCTTTGTATAGCAAAATCTGTAGATTTCAAAAATAATTTCTCCATGTGGAGGCTGGGGGTGTCATTTTCCTGAGACAGGAAATCCAGAGGCCTCTGTGTCACACCCCTTGAACAGAAGATGAAGGAACTGAAAGGCTTTGGCTCAGGTCACTTGGCTAGTTTGTGACTTATACAGAAGCCTAACAGGGGCCAACATGGGTGGCCACAACCTCACTCAACCTCAAACAATGTCTCAAGAGCAAAAAGTGATTTTTCTTAGCTATTTATCATAGTAAAAA